AGTGGGCTGTAGTCCACGAAAGCTTATGCTCTAATAAATTTGTTAGTCTCTAAGGTGCCACAAGTACTCCTGTTCTTCTTTCTCTTAAAAAGGCCCCTCTAGTTACTTGGACCATAGCTCTTAGCTTCATGAGAAACCTCTAAACTGTTTTCAATTAGTGTTTTTGTTCTTTTAGTCTGGGGCTAGGAGTTTAAGAGAATACACCCTTATGGAGCTGCTTGTGGTAAGTTTTGTTCCTTTCCTTATAATGCTTGAGTGTTTATTAATGCGTGCCCATAGAAGGAGCACCTATGTCCTATATATGATAGCGTCTGCCATGTAAACAATGGCTGGTGTCAAGATGAGACTACAAATCTTAATGATACATGTGACCCACTCGAATTAGCCTTTTATTTCCCCTATGGGTATAGGTGTTTGAAGCATAATGTCAGGAAAACCCAATGAGCGGTTTCACTCATGAACTCAGTGAAGTAAACTTTCTTCCTATCAAACTTCCTGAATAGCAGGATTTCTTGTAATTCGGTTACATGGTTATAGTTTTACTCCATGCTAATTCCTTTCTGGGGTGAGGGGATTCATTGCGGTTTAGGCTTTCCATTGTTTCTTGTTTTGATCATTCTTCGGTACTGAGTCTGAGCGAAAGCAGCCATTGTGGGATATCTGTTGCTGTAAGTAGGAATGTCTTCTGACTGAACTCATGCTGTATTCAGATGCACATGGAGGAGCCTTGCTTCAACTTCCTGCGAACGAAGCAAACCCTTGGGTAAGTTCACTGCATTGGGTACAGTTCCTGTTCAACTGCTTTATCATATATGATACGTCCTGTGTTACTATGGAAACTCCCTACTGCATGATAACTAACTCCTGCCACAGTGTGGCGGAAAGTACAGTATAACATCCTAAAGCCAAAACTAGCAATTTCTTTGGTGCCATATAAAAATGGCAAGGTTATGTGCAGTGAAGCTACTCTAAACTGGTCAAGTTACTCATCAGAAAAAATAATTGTCAGCAAAGTCTTGTCCTCCAGGTTAGAGTCCATAACCAGAAGGTAACATAATTTGACTAAGCAGAAAACTCTCTCTCCAGCTTGGTGTTCAGCACTGACTCTGGCTGTAGAGCTAGACTTCCTCAAAAGTAACATGCCTTCACTCTGTCTTCCAAGTAGCTACCACTGTAGCTTTCCCAGGACCACGTATGTAAAGGGTGGGGATTGCTGAGCTTGAATTAACTCCTGTCACAACCGCAGCTACAACCCCTTCTACTTAGGCTCTTTACTGTGAACTAAGAGGCTCCAATAACCCTGACTGGCCAGTACCTTGACTATGGATAATGGTATGATTCTGTCGTGGAGATCATGGATTCTGTGACTTTCTGGGACCGCTGGGACTTCTTCCGCTATGGCCGGGCTGGAGCACCTGTCAGCCCCAGGGCTGAAGGAGTGGCCGGGGTTGGGTCAGCCCCTTGGGGCTGGAGTAGTGGCGGGGTTGGAGCCATTGCTGGAGGTCAGTCCCTGGGCCACTGGAGCAATGGCTGGCGATCGGCCTTGGGGCTTCCAGAGCAGCTGGCCAGTGGGCTGGCTGCCAGAGCAGCAGGCCCCAGGGCTGAAGCAGCAGCTGGGGTTGGGTCAGCCCTCCTGAGGCTGGAGCAACTGTCTGAGGTCAGCCCCTTGGCAGTGCTTGATTGTTAGTCCTCCCCCACCCTGGATATTTTTAATAAAAGTCAGGGAAGGGAGAGGTCACGGGCTTCCATGAATTTTTGTTTATTGCCCACATCCTGTCCCTGACTTTTACTAAAAATACCCATGACAGAATCTTAGCTTTTACTATAAGGGTTCTTGTAATTTCACAGATCTGGAGTGCAGGATTTCTCAGAACACGAGTACTCACCTTAGCTTGTTTGCTGAACAAGAAAAGTCCAAGGCCACTTGATTCAAGAGATTTGATATTTGTTGTTTCAGAGGGAATCTTGAATTAATAGCTGCCTCATTGCTAAAACCTTAGATCTATGTATTGACAATATTCTAATTTAGTAGTTGTGGATGGTAAATGTAAAGTGACTTGTTCTTGTGAACTTTTTTTTTCTCCTTTTGGTTTAAGCTACCATGTGTACCCTACATGTAGAAATACATCTGGGATTCTTGGGTTCTCTGTTACCGTAACCACACAAGCAACCAAGAACAAGTGAGTTTTTTCTGGGTATATCTCATTTAATCAATTCCAAGGCCTCGGGCATTGGTGTACCTCAGTTCCTCCTCCTGTTCTCTGCCTGGGGCATACAATAGTTTAATCTCCAGAGGGCTGTAATTCTTTACTTTACTTCCAGTTATTGGGGTTAGTGTGGTGTGGCTGGGTGATGTTGGTATCCTTTGACATACTGGAGGTTAGACTAGATGCTCTGGTGGTCCCTTCTGTCCTTAAACTGAATTTATTACTCTTAATAATTTAAAAGAATGGTTAAACTGCATGTTAGTGTTTCCATCCCAGGGGCCTTTGGCCTTCTGTGGCTTTTCAGAGCTAACCTTTGCAGATCTCAGCTGAAGTAGTAGCTGTCTACCACCTTGTAAGCATATAGCCAAGTAATATTTCAGGACCCCTGACGTTTTTCCACAGTACTTTAGCACTGAGATTTGTCTTGTGGCAATCTGTCTTGGACTGGTTACAGAGCTTCCATCCCAGAGAGCGATACAGGAGATGTGTTCTCTTTAAGATGTCTTTAATGCACCGCCAGTTAGAGCTGTTGTGTGTGCAGATAAGATATGTTATACATGGCTCCACCTAGTGGGTAACAGTAAATACAATTTAGCATTCCATTACATCTCCCTCTTTAAGTTTTACATTCCTACATTTTTACAAAATGTACACTATCATGCTATCTTTAAAGTTCAATACATATAATTTTGTTAAGTGTTTCTGAATTGTATGGGTTTTCTAATTACACAACCCAGATGTGTAACAACTTGGTCATCTGGCTGTCCATTAATTGCAATGACTGTCTCTGGTCAGTTTGGAGTCTTTGAGTCATCATCTTCTTTTTCTGCATCTGCCATGTGTAAAGTTTGCTCTGTTGATCTCAGATGATTTCAGCTCTGAGAGGGGTTGAAGGCTATGGTAAGTCCCTTCTGTTATGACTGTCACATCTGCTTCTGAGTCAGCTTTAAAGTCAATAGTCTTTCCATGAATATTCAGTTTCACTCTCCAGGCAGGCTCTGTGTGATCATATGAGATAAATCCCAGAAACAGTGACACTTGATTGTCTGTCTGTAATATGGGTCAACTCCCTGACTGCTTTGGTGCAGCAAAGAGCTGCAAAATGTCTATATTTTGTGCATTTATTATATCTTGCGCCTTTGGCTGTACATATATGTCTTGGGCTATGAATTTTTCCACATCTCCTGCATTTAGGCTGAAAGGCTTTGTAGCTAGTCTGGAATTTGTCCATTTTATTCTCAGGGGTCTTATGATAATTACTTTCAGCAGTTTTGCTGCATCTTTTACAGCTCCTAAGCTATTTCTTGCTTTTCAAGTTTGGTGAATTGCTCTTGGTTTTGCTGCTTCACCATCTCAGACTAGTTTGCTATTTGAATAGCTGTGTGTAGGGTTAAATCTGTTTTTAATTTTAGGTGCTGTGAAAGATTTTTATCTGCAAGCCCTGTAACTAATCTATCTCCAATATTTTCATGTTTTACAGTCTCAAAAACAGTTTTCTGTCAATGCAAGTAAAGCTGTGATAAAAGATTCAACAGATTCTTCTGGTTGTTGAATTTTTTGGTGTAAACATGCGCTTTCATAAATCACATTTCTCCGAGGTATAAAGTATGCATCAAAGATAGACAGAACCCTTTCATAGTCATTTCTGTGACTGTCTTCATTAAATGTAAAATCTTTAAAGATCTGCTTCTCCATAGCATAAATTAAAGAGCATGTCTGTATGTTTCCAGTTTCCTTGTGGAGTTTGGTTGCAAAGTAAAATCTTGCAAAATGTTACTTCCAGTCTGTCCATTGCACCATCTAGTGGCTGAACTGTGTAATACAGTTTACCTGTACTGAAAAGTGTTCTCATGGCTCTCACACAATAGAGCTGGTCCTGGATTCTTCTTCCCATTTGCCAGTCTGTTTAAGAGCAGAGTCTGATGTCCATATTACAAGTATCACACCACAGACTCACCATTTAAGTTAAAAATGGGAAAATTCATTTGCAAATTTAACACCATTAATCTGGGCTTGAATAGGGACTGGGAGTGGCTGGCTCATTACAGAAGCAGCTTTTCCTCTCCTGGAATTGACACCTCCTCATCTGTTATTGGGAGTGGACCACATCCACCCTGATTGAATTGGCCCTGTCAGCACTGGTTCTCCACTTGCAAAGTTACTCTCTTCTCTCCATGTGTCAGTATATAATGCCTACATCTGTCACTTTCACTCTATGCATCTGAAGAAGTGAGGTTTTTACCCACGAAAGCTTATGCCCAAATAAATCTGTTAGTCTTTAAGGTGCCACCAGACTCCTTGTCATTTAAGTTAGGTGACTTCTTATTTTCCAGTACGTAAAATGCCCCTATCAGCCTCATGACATATGTATTGTTTTAACATATTGACTTTATTTGATAGAGAATTTACTGAAGTTTTAAGAAATCAGTGATTAATGGTGAAAATTTTGAGCATGTGTGACTCTGACCAACCAGTGGTCTTCGTCATGCCACACATTGTGTTCTATTTAAGGCAACAATGATGTGCTTATACTGCCTCCAACTTCATTTACCACTGAACTGAGTGAAGCATTTTAATCTTCTTGCTGGGTTTATTTCACCTTTGATTTTTATTGTCCATTCTGCTAGGGTGCTTCAAAGATGACTCCTGCATGCGTTCTCTCTGAAGCTGTATGCATGTGTGATATTAAGTTAGCTCCATAGAATGCACTTCTTTAGTAGATTCTGTGTAATTACAGCCATGACTCATACTTTCCACATACAGTTTTAATCTTAGGCTCTAATGCTGCAAAGAGCTCAGATGGAGGGGGAAAGGTCAGGGTTCCCTTTTGTCTACAGCTAGTCCCTAGGGGCATTGTCGAGACACTCCCTCTGAAATCCTGGTGGGTGGTCAGTAAGTGCACTGCAAGGTGTTTGCTCGTGAGGGGGCTTGGCACACGGCTTCTCCACGCTCACTTTTCAAGATAATCACTTTTGCGAAAACTCCTCCTTGTCTCTATTTCAGTGTCACACGGCACAGCATTTCTAATGTTTTATGACACACACAAGACCATTAGACTACTGTATATTAAATGATATTTGACTTACTTTTCATAGGCCAGTAAAACCCATCTCAGTTTTCAAAGCTCTAAGTGAATGACCTTTCAAATGCTGTTTTATCTTAAACTCAGAGTTCACGATAAACTGGTTTGATTCAACATCTTTTCACTGATTTTAAATAGATTTATTGCTAATCTTTAATTTTTAACAAAAACAGAAGCAATCTGGAAACAATAATAATATACAGCCTTCTTTTCTTTATCTCTGCACCCCTCCAAATTGCTGCATGTTTTTTCCTTGGAAATATCAGCCCAATGGACATAGCAGTTGGGAAACACTTGTTTAAACAGCTGTCACACCTATATAACACCTGCTTCCCTGCAGTCCTTTAGCTTGTGTCTGGGACCCCAGGCTCATGCTTTCTCTATGGCTTAGGACTACTTGCTAGCAAAGTTTCTGCCATGCCATTACCAGTCAGGAATTAAAAGAAGTAGAAGTAGTATTGGCTGCCTGCACATAAATCTTTAGTGGTCTTATATGAAAGGACTGGCTAGCTTTATTTGTCAAGTTATCTTATTTCTTAGGACAGGGAAAGGTTACAAATTGAAACTGATAATGTCTTTCCTTTGTGTGCTCCTTAGCAAACAGGTTATGTTCTATGGACCACCTGTGCCTCTCAAAAATCGCATTTTTCCTCTTCCCTTCTTGTTTAGTTTCTCCTTAGGATAATGAAGGACTCACTTGTGCAAACAGCAAAGCATGTTCTTAGCTCCTGAACCTCCAGATTTAAAACTATTGATTTCCCCCCACTTATTTATTAAGTTCTGCCAATGTTATTCATATGGTTCCTAATATTTCCCTTATTCCTTTCAGCTCTGAATTTGTTGACAAGAAAATAGAAGAATTTCTTTTGTACTTTGAGGGGAAAATGAGGCTTTTAACTGAAAAAGCATTCAGGACTCAGGTAAAAGTGGAAAAGCAGCCCAAACACAGCTCATAAGAATGGCTCTGATCTTCCCATATTGTTAAAAACAGAACATGCAAGCTCTTTGGAGAGGGAGAAAGTGGAAGCGATCAGATACTGGTGTTGGAGCTGCTCCTTGGTCATGCTTCCAGGCATTGGCTACAGCGCACAGTAGCATTTTCTGAAATTGGCACTGGACAGGGTACTTTGATTTTTTTCGTTTTTTGGTTTTGGACTCTTCCCCTACCGGGATGGGTCTCCTGTTTTTCTGAAAGGCTCCAGATGAGCTCAGGGGACACATGCAGCCTTGTTCAATGGACGCTACGACTATTAGTAATTCAGTACTCAAAGCAACCTTAGAGGCCAACAGTTGCATTTAACACAAGTTCAACCTTTGCTTTGAATCATTCAATACACAGCAGCCTGAGCCTAGCTAAACCCTGTTGAAGCAGAATCCCACCCCTTTCCCGATATGGTGGCTTCCGTGTAAGAGTAATAATAATCAGTGTGCTTTTACAGGTCAGTGCTCTAATACATATTAAAGAATGTGAAGATTCCTATCTTGGAGAAGAGGTGGATAGAAATTGGAATGAAATAATGACTCAGCAGTATCTTTTTGACAGACTTGCCCATGAGGTAGTGAATGAAACTTAAATGTCAACCAATGTTATTGTCTTACTATGTCTCCCTAGATACTTATATTTGAAATATAGAGTGAAATTCTGGCTCAATGAAAGTCAATGGTAAACTCTCTCTGACTTTACTGGGGCCAGGGTTACATCAATACTGAATATTGCTTCTTGAATAGAAAGCTTAACATCTTGTCAATACTTAAGCACCAATTTATAGTGACCTAGTATTAGGAATTAATATGGAGCCCTAGAGGGTGGAGTCAGTACCTCAAGGTCTGAATGCATTGTGACCTGGAGAGATCTGTATAAAGAAATCTTTGTTTTAAGTGTGTCAAGATGAATAGTAGTTACAACTTGAACCGGATTTTCAGAATTCATAGAAACGTCTAGCAATTCCATTTCATAAGCATCAGCAAGTGTTTCTGTCGCTAACTGCTGCTTTCGGGATTTAAAATTTTCCTACAAGTATTTGTTCTGGGATGGAACTGGAGGATAGTGGCAGAAGACTAGTAGAAACGTTCAAAATACTGTTCAACTGTTGGGAATTAGGTTGCTTTTAAAAGATGTGTCTGAAATTTGGACATTTGAAAAGTGTACTCTTGTGGGTTTTAGGTTGAAGCACTACGGTCAGTAACTAAGTCAGACCTAGTTGACTGGTTCCAAGCTCATAGAGGCAAAGAGAGGAAAGCACTCAGTATACATGTGAGTATGTTTGGAATCATCGTGCTGTTAGATGAGATTGCTTCACACCAGTGAGTTAACAGTAACTTCCTTATTTAATTTCTAGGGCCTGTTCTTTTCTTCTTTCCCACATTCTATGACTAACTTCTTTTAAAATAGGTTTCAGGGTA